GGCGCTCCTGGTAACAGCCGTGGAACATCTCAGCAGGGTGTACAGTTTTTTGCGGGGTCATCGTCGACTGACGCCCTTGCAGGTGTCAGATTTCCAGGGGCGAGGTCTGATGTTAAGCTCTCCCGCTCCCTTTCACAAGGTTCGGCGGCCTAACCGCTATCCTCGCGTGGGGACCCGAGCAACCCCCGCGCCGCGGTGGGAGGAACGGCGGCCCCCCCGTCGGGCAAGGCAGGCCGCCGCATGCCAGTGAAGGTGAAGAGGAGGGAAGCGGAGGAGGAGGAGGAACTCAATGAGGGAAGAGGGGGAAGAGGATGAGCTCGAGGAGGGAAGAAGAGGAGGAGGATGAAAAGGAGGAAGAGGAGAAGGATGATGAGGAGGAACCATCAGCACCATCAGACCTCGCCAAAGACACACATGACGTCATTTTTGCGTGCATGGTCTTCGTATAGAGGGCACCAGGCCCCGAAGTGTCACATGTGCTGGCATTTAGCTGAGCAGTGCGCTGAAAAGGGGAACCCAGCGGCGTACTGGACGTACCCTGACGAGAATGAGAATCGGCTCATGGGCACTGTGGCCAAGTCGCTCCATGGCGGCAGTACGTTCTACGTCAGGTTTCTCGAAAAGGTCATCCCCTAGACATCTCGATGTCTGGGGAGTCACTTTTCGAGGGAGCTGCGCGGGCGTACTGCTGTCTTAAGGGAGTGGTTTGGTCACGGTGCCCATCGGTCGGTTCTCGTTCTCGTCGGGGCTATCCAGGCGCAGGCAATGGTGGACATAAACGAATACCAAAAAGAAGGGTGGATGAAAGACGGGAAGGGGGCCAGGGAGTGAGGGTTCCCCTTTTTCTGCGTGCTCGAGTACTGACTGTCTTCCTTGGCCTTCGAAGGAAAAGGTCTTTCAGCCCCCCTCAGACCGAACGAGCGAATGATAGCATCAATAGGGCCGACATGGACCCGCCTCTCGGAGTGGATCCCTGAGATGTCTGGCAGCGCATGGTTTCGAGAAGTGGCGGTGCAGTTCGATTATATAGTTCTCGAGGGCTTGTGATCCAGAACCACGGGCGATGTTTGATTACTCCCTTCCCCCCTTCCCTTCTCGGAGGCGGATGGAGCAGGGGAGGGTTTATGATTGCGTGGCGTGTGCATGCGTGGTCGTGTGTGTGTGCGTGCGTTCGCGTGTGCGTGTATATATGGGATCGGAGGATCAGTCCGCAATCATCCCCTCTTCCTCCCATCCTCTTCTCCTCCCCTCTATCTCCTGCTCTCTCCCTTCCCCTCCCCTCGCCCTTCCCCTCTCAGCACCTCTCCCCTTCCACCCCACTCAATCGCATTATAACCTCGATCCCTGGAGCGATTGGCCGCTCGCAGGGCTCGAGCGACTGTTTTTTTTTCGCCGACTCCCCTCGCACGGGGCCATGCTTGTGTTCGTGGACCCTCGGTTTCCACATCATCCTGGAATTCAAGTTCCACATGCAGGTGAACATCCTCATGATGGTGATGGTGCTCCAGGCGTCCCTCCACGTGGACCCTCCACCTTCCAATCCTTCTCAATCCCCCGCCACCCTCCCCAATCCACCCTCCACTCTCCAATTCTCCTCAGGTCGAGGCGTCGGCGGCCACGAGCGTCGCTTGAGGGCGGCGGCGCTGATTCCCCACCTTCGCACGCACAGTGCACACACGCACACACACGCACACATGCACGCACGCTCAACTATTGATCAGCCAACCTCGGAGAGGACCGAACCGATGTTTAAGATACGAGCTCCTATACAGCCCTATCCCCCCTCCGTCGCCCCTCCCTCCCTCGGGATCCCTTTCTCCCTCCGTTCCTCCCCCTCCCTCCGGCACGCACGACACGCATCTTTACGCTCTTCTTCTCTCGATCTCTCTCACACACGTGGCCACACACACACGCACACATGCACGCACGCTCAACTATTGATCAGCCAACCTCGGAGAGGACCGAACCGATGTTTAAGATACGAGCTCCTATACAGCCCTATCCCCCCTCCGTCGCCCCTCCCTCCCTCGGGATCCCTTTCTCCCTCCGTTCCTCCCCCTCCCTCCGGCACGCACGACACGCATCTTTACGCTCTTCTCTCGATCTCTCACACACGTGGCCACACACGCACACACACACGCACACTCTCGATCCTGTGACTCTCGACGCTGGCTTGCGAGAGGCCTGCTGCCGCCTCCGATCGGAGCGCGGCGCCGCTTCTCGCCTTGGGCCATCCCGTAATTCTTATTCTGTCGCTGGCGTGCGAGAGGCCTGCTGCCGCCCCCGATCGGAGCGCGGCGCCGCTTCTCGGCCTTTACGCCCTTGCATACTTTTCGAAGTTAGCTGCCGCTCTGATGAGAGCGGCGCCGCTTCCCTCGCTTTGCATCGCCCCCTCCCTCCCTCGCGCACACACGCACACACACGCACACACGCGCGCGCGCACACACACACACTCACACGCGCGCGCGCGCGCACGCACACGCACACACGCACGCGCACACGCGGATCCTTATCCCACTCCGAATTCGATCGCTGGCGGCAGAATAATTATTCTGCACTGCTGGCTGGCACTGCTCGAGCGAGCTGCAGGCCCGCAGGCCGCCTCTCTCCCCCCTTGCCCAACACGATTCGATTGGAATCACCGCCTTCTCCCCGCCAATCTCCACATCCACGCCTTCGCCCCTGATTGTTCATATTATATACTATCCTCTCCTTTCCCCTCTAGACAATTAGCGCGTGAAGCTGGCCGCTGCATTATTGCAGATGGGCCGCCCACGCTCCTGGCGATCAGTTGTCTCGCCCCCCCCCCTCCCCCCCTTCGATCGGCTCATCGCGTGCAGCGAGGGCTTGGCGCGGGGGCGTGCGCCGACGCGTGGCGTTCGCATGCGCATGCGCATTGCAATCTTCGAGGAAACCCACCCTCCTCCATCCCCCTTCCTCGTCCCCCGCATCGCTTTCCCGATGCAGCCACACGTGCCGCGGGACGCAGTGCGAGATCAGTCGACGTCCAAGGATATCGCATTGCGACCATACGCTTTGGAAATAATCCTCCCTGCATCCTCCTCCACCGCCTCCTCCGACGATCCACCCTCCTATTCCATCCTCCCACCTCGGCGCCACTGTGATGACGCAGATGCGCACGAGATCAGCGTCACCGATATCATATTGCGACCATTCATGAACGTTTGGAAATAAGGCCCATCCCCCCCCTCCACCTCCGCCTCACTCGGGATCTCTTCGACTTTCTTTTCGCTTCCCTCCCCCTTCCGGCTGCTCAGTGCCCGCGAGGCAGAATTAGGGGCTGGAATGGGGTGGCGCGCCTCCGCGCAGACATGCGACATCGCATGCATTTGAGGAAATAGCGACCCCCCCTCTATTTCCATCCTTCCGCCTCCTCCCGTTCCAGGTCCTAATCTGGAGCGCACGGCAGTGCCGCCGTTGCGTGTGGCTACACTGGGATATCGATGCATCAATAGGCGGAAAAGGTCGGAGCAGGGCAGGACGACCTGGAACCCGTTCTGCTTCCATATATATATATATGTATATATATATATATATATATATATGTATATATATGTAACATATCATGTAATGATTTTTTCGGATACATGTGTCATGTAATGATTTTTTTGGTATGTAATGATTTTTTGGGTATGTAATGATTTTTTTTCATGCGGGGGCCCACGTAATGAAAAAATCATTACCGCAGGAGGTCTGGGGGGCCAGAGGGCCACGGGCAAGCGCCCCGGCGCGCGCTGGCGGTCGCCGCGGTGGCGACCGCGCCCCGTGCTCGGGGCCGGGGGCGCCAGGCCCGCCGAGGCCGCCGCGCGCGCCGCGGCTGCCCGCGCCGCGGAGGCGGCGCAGGCGGTGGCTCGGGCCGTTGCCGCGGGCGCGGCCTCGTGCACGTGCGCGTGCACGTACACGCGCACGTGCACTGGTGGAGGGCGTGCACGTGCACGCCCTCCTCCAGCGCGGCGGCTGGCCGGAGGTGGGGGCCGCCGCGCGCCACCTCGGCCTGCCGGGTTGCCGCATCTGGCTGCGGCCCGCTCCACTGCCGCCCGGCGCGGGCTGCAGAGCGGAGCTGCTGGCCGGCGTCTATAGAGGCGCGCGCCCGCTGGGGCCGAGGCCCGCCGGGCCGGGCGCGGGCCGGCGCGCCTCCCTGCACCCCGCCTCCTTTGAAGTCCCAGACCCCCTCGGGCAATGAAAAAATCATGGCGGCAAGTTTTTCGCTATTTTCGGTCTCTGGGGTTTACCGGCCCTCGGGACCGTCAAGAAACGACTCGGGATAAAAAACTGGTCCAGGGAATGGGTCGAGACCTCCAGGGGTCGACGCAATGAAAAAATCATGACGTGGGGGGTCTGGGGACCTGGCGACTGAATTTTTTCGAGCTGGGCGTTTTGATGACTTTTGTGCCAAAGAGGCTGCGGAAGGGTGGCGAAATGGTAACGCCTCAGGCTCTGGTTGAACCTCCCCTCTCCTCGGTTTCCTTCAACACGCCCTCGAGGGCGCCAGGTCCACTCTGGACCCAGACCTCGGAAGGAAACGCTATCAAAATAGCCTCTAAAATGGAAGGGGGGGGTAGCTCGGCCACTGAGGTCCTCCTCCCCTCAAACATTCATCTTCCGATGCTCTACTACACAGGCAGGTAACCTTCTCACTCATGTCTCACCCGCCTGGGCTCAAGCCTCTCTCTCTCCCTGCTAGCGTACCGAGCCAGCCATCTCCGATAATGTATCCAGCTTCTCCTTTGTCATCGGCTTGGTCATCATATCGTTCGGGTTCTCGTGAGTGCATACGTTGCCGAAACTCAACCGCCCTTGTTCTCGCCACTGTTGCATCGCCAGGAAACGAGCCTCCACGTGTTTCATCTTTCCTGGCCCGCGCTTCCTCACGATGTGTAGCGCACTGCTGCTGTCGCTCATCACGAGCGGATTCGTCTTCTTCCTCCACTCATCGAGTAGTGATGCTAGTCCGAGAGCCTCCGCTGCCCCCGATCCCGCTAAATGATAGGTAAGAAACAAAAAACGAAAACGATAGCCGATCCCAGCGCATATAGCTCGCTCTCCGCCGAACTGAATGCCACGCAGCCCTGGCGTCTGGACCACGACAGGTCGGTGCATCCGCGGTACTTCAGGATGCCGCCGCTCGTCGAGATCCTGTCGGTCTTGTCATCGGCCCAGTCTGCGTCTACCAGCACTCCACTGCAATACCTCCTCTGTTCGGAATCAACTGCATATCTTAGTCTCGCGTGCCTGCGAGGTACCGAGCCATCTTCTTCAACCTCCTCAGGTCCTTCTCTGTCGGTCCTGACATGCACTTGCTGTTGAACTCGGCCCTCGACTCCATGTTGAATGTCAGGACGGCGGATCGCCAACTGTAGCAGCTTCCCCGCACAGGTCCTATAGCGACTGTGACCCACCGTGTCTACCTTCAGCTCGTCGTTCTTCATGCGCATCTCGTTCTTGGTCTCGAACAGTACTGATGGCTTCGCCGTGTCCAAGCCTAGCTCCTTCAGGATATCGTCGATCAAGCTCGTCTTGCCGCTGATCGTGTAGCCGCCCTCGACTTTCCCCACCTGCATGTTCAGGAACGTCGCCTGATCTCCGTTCTTGGTGAGCTCCACCGCGTCCAGTGACTTCAGTCTCTCTCCCATTGCATCTAACAACTTGTCCACGTCGCCGCTCGGCCCAGCGATTAGGAAGTCGTCGGCGCGCCTCCCAGCCTTCATCCTATTGCTCAGCTTCATGAAGAGACACCCGTCGTAGTGGCCCCTGGCCATCTCAAGCTCCTCCATGGTGTTCGCACTGTGGTCCTCCCAAGCCTTCGGCGCTCCTTTGGGTCCTGGAAATGCGCGCATCGCCTCCCGAACATGCCCTTCAAGTACTCCTACTTCTGGTGGTGGTTCCAGGAAGATGCGGTCCTCGGCGAGGTGCGCCTGGTAGAACGCTCCACTGCAATCGCCAAGCGCCACCACGTGGTCGTGCAACTCCGCGTTGGCCAGCATCGCCTTCAGGTGCGGAAGTGAGGGAGTCGTGGCTACGAAGTTCTCGTGCCCGTGCACCTGCTGCTCGAAGCCCCTCGTGGTCCACCGACTCTTCTTGCTGCCGTCCGCCTGGTAGATGTCGACCCACTTCCCCGTCGGGATCTTGGACGTCGTGTCCTTGATCGGGATTGCCTGTGCGATCTTCTTGCCGTCTCCTGCGATCTTCTCCAAGCGCTCCTTCCTCACCTCCGTGAAGTCGTCCTCCAGCGGGCGCGTCTCATCATCCTCCACCTGCGGCTTCTCGCGCATCTCCCTGACCGCGCTGATCATCTGGATGGTAGTGACCCTGGACTTCTTGCCTTCGTTTCCTTCTCCGCCTTCGCGTTCTCGCCCGGGGCTCCTCTCTGCCAGCGGAATGCCCACAGGCTGCGGTGGTGCCGCCCTCCGCTTTGACGGTCCTGCCGCCTCGCCCCTGGGCCTCTTCGCCCCCAATCGTTTCTTGTCCATGTCCACGTCGACGTGCGGTGCTGACGCCGTTGCTGCTGCTGCTGGCTGTGGTGGTGCTGGTTGCGGTTCTTCTCCTGCTGCTGCTGCTGCTGCTGCTGCTGCTGCTGCTGCGGCTGCCGAATTCGGGCCCAGGTAGTTCAACAGCGGCCCGTGTAGAATCGTTTTCTGTGGTGGCCTCTGCGTTGGCGGCCCACCCCTCGCGGTTGGCGCGGGCCCCCAGGGTGCCCACCTCATCTTGTCGAACAGCTCCTTGTCCCAGCGTCGGCTCTCCATCTTCCTCTTCGCCGCCGTGGACCTGCGCGCTCCCGTCGGCGTTCCGATCAGGTGCTCGTCCACCCTCGCGCCGCGTCCTAGCCAGATGCCCTCCAGTCACGACAACTCCAGCTTATTGACCTGGGCTCCTGGCCTCCTGCAGATCACTGCCTCGCCGGCTGCGACGATGGGCTTCTGGTGCTTGAGCATGTGGGTCTTCCCGTAGGGTACGAGGTTAATGCCACCATGCATCTGTTGTAGAGCCACGCTGCATGCCTTGGCAACCACGTAAGGAATGGGGTGTCGGGCTTGAGGTCGTGGTTCAGCTTCTTGTTGACCTGCAGCATCAGCGTCCTCACTTGCTTCCTCACCGTCTGGATGGCCCTTTTCGGCCCTGCCGTTCGCCTGGCTGTTGTACCTCTCCGACTGCCCCATGAGGATCGTCTCACAGATGCCGTCTTTGATCGCCCTGGCCCTGGCTGCCATGATGAATGAGAACCCGGCGGCTCCTCCTGATTTTAGTTCCACCCGCGAGGGCCCCAATTCGGCTAGCCGCGAAACCGCCGAGGCCACTGTGTAGACGTCGCCTCGACCTTTCTGGATGATGGCCGTGCTCCAGATGCCCCCTGTCGAAGCGTCGTCGCTGCCCACCGCGAACTCAAAGTTGACGGGGCCCCCCTCGATGCCCGCCTGGCCGTAGTCGAAGCTCAGCAGTGGGATCAGCTCGTCGCGTCTATCCTTCTTCTTGTGGGCTACGTCGTTGGCCTTCGCCTGCATGCAGATCTCACGCCATGGTTCAGCTGGGTAGTGCGTCAGCTAGTGCCTCTCGACCCCCTCCGCACTTGGCTCTCAGGTAGTCCACTGGCTGTTGTCTGGGGCTCTACCGTCTCGCGATCGTCGGCAACTGCCACTGGCCCTTCTGGCGGCGCATCCGCCAGTGCATCTGCAGCTCCTCGAGATACGACCCGTGGTTGCTGCCGCTCTCCTGGCGGTCGAACTCAAGGCCCTCCTGCCGATGCTCGCTGGACTGCGCCTCCGTCTTCGCCCTCTTCACCTGGTCGCGCTGCTGCGACTGCTGCCCCGATCGGCGCTGGCAGCGCCATCTCCCGGTGGACCTCCTCCATGTCGTCGAACATATTGGTCCAGCGCTCTAATGCGTAGTGGTTGATAGTCTTAAGCTTGACCAATCCTGCCGTCTCGCGCCTCGGCAGCCCTCCTTTGCCGTCGTGCCGCGCCACGCTATTCTCCGCCCTGCTGCAGAACTTGCCCGCGCTCCTGGTGAGCTGCTTCACGTCAGTGACCTGGAACTCCATACTGTCGCCTGCTATGTAGAGTGTCATCGTCTTCGATGCGTAGTACCCCAGCGGCGCGCCGTCTGCGACCGCCAGGTTGGGGTTGCGTCCTGGTCTGAGCTCCACGTTCGGGAAGCCCCTGATGCCGCGCGCGTGCTCATGTGCGCAGTTGCCCGTCAGCATCCAGAACGAACGCCGCGCGCCGTTCCCCATCATGCTGTAGATCCTTCTCTCCGGCACCTTTGGCTTCCAGTCCTTCGCAACTGCGAAGATGAAGCCACTTCCCCGCTCTGTCGCGTGCTCGTCTATCGCGGTGGTCGCTCGGACTCCTGCTCCCACGTGGCTGACTGAAGGTCCTGCCGTCGAGGGTGCTGGACTCCGTGGTGGTGGTGTGATAATTTTGCTCCAGCCGTCGTACATCGCGATCTCGTTCGCCCTTCCTTCCTGGCCTTCTGCTCACCCTTGTCGCAGTTGGGGTTCTCCTTTCGACGCCGGCAATCCCTTGCGCAGTGCCCCCCTGGCCACGTGCGTAGCATGGCCTCGCCCCAGGTTCTCCTGACATATTCCAGGCTGGCTGTCGTGCTGATGCTGCCCTCGCCATGGGATCCGCGCCCTTGCCCTTCTGGTCTTTGCCGCTGCTTTTGCCTTTGTTGTCTCCACCTTAACATTTGCCGTCTTTGCCCTTGCCTTCGGGATGCTGTCGCGTCAGCGCGTCCACCCCCATGGCTCCTGAGGTTCAGTTTCCTTTACTGCCTTCGGCTCCAAGTCCTGTATTGGGCTTGCACACTTCGGCTGGTGCCCGCCCTCGTGCACCGTCGCCGCTGGTGCGCGTGCATCGTGGTGCCGATCAGTCGTACTGCATCTGTAGTATCGTTCTGATGTGATTCGGCGCCTTCTGTAGGTAGATGCGCTTCTTGACTCCTGCATTCAACACTTCTCCCGACGCCGTCTCGTAGCGCCGGATGTCGCGCTCCCAGTCTGAGTGGCACTGCTCGAACCCTGCCAGGTCCGAGAGGAAATTCTTCACGTTGAGAATTGCCGTCGTGATACTCTGAGCCCTCATTGTCGTCGCAAACTCGCAGCGTTTGATCCGCGCTCGCCATGCCAGCGCTCCGTTCTGATCTTCTACGCTCCTGATCAGCATCTGCGCGCTGCCCTTCACTGCCATGACCAGCGCGAAGAGCATCCTCTTCGTCGCCGCAACTCCTTCGCTCCCAGACGATGCAAGGTCTCTGCCATACAGATGTCTGGATCTCCTCGCTGCTCAGCCGCCTCCAGGAGGTTCAGCGTTTGCGCCGTTTGACCTCCCAGGTAAGCCCTCATCACGAAACTCCATTCCGTCCACGTCTCGTCGTGGCCGTCGAACGTCGGTGGTTTCAGCCCGAAGCCCTGCCACTCAGCACCAGGCTCCGTCATGGTCACGTAGACCTCGTCCTGCTTATCTGTGGTCACGTAGACCTCGTACTCCTTGTCTGTGGTCACGTAGACGTCGTATTCCTTGTCTGTGGTCACGTAGACCTTGTCCTGCTCGTCTGTGGTCACGGAGACCTTGTACTGCTTGTCTGCGGTCACGGAACGTCGTTCTGCTCGTCGGTGGTCACGTAGACCTCGTCTTTCAGCTCTGCGGTCACGTAGACCTTGTTCTTCTGCTCCGTGGTCACGTAAACCTCGTTCTTCTGCCCTGTGGTCACGTAGATCTCGTTCAACGCTCCTGTGGTGACGCAGACCTCGTTCAACACTCCTGCGGTCACGTAGACCCTGTCCAGCTGCTTGGCCACGTAGACCTCGTTCAGCTGCTTGGTCACGTAGACCTTGGCCAACTGCTGTGTCAGCGCGTCGCCGTGGATCAAAGCACGTCCTGCGGCCGCGGCGGCGGGAGCTATGGCCAGCCTACGCGCGGGGAGGGGCGCCCACCGGGACTTGGCCGTGGCCAGCTCCGCTACCATGATAACTTTTGTGCCAAAGAGGCTGCGGAAGGGTGGCGCAATGGTAGCGCCTCAGGCT